TCTCTCCTCTCTCTCTCCTCCTCCTCTCTCTCTCTCTGTCTGTCTCTCTCTGTCTGTCTCTATCTATATCTGTTCGCAACATTTTCGATGCTATAAGGTACTCACCAAACATGTTTGTAAAGTACTCACCAAAAAATTGCTGAAGATATGGGGTTGTAATATCTGCTATCCAGCATTGCCAACCATAGGACCAAGTACCAAAAAAACGTGTGGAGTGCCAGCAAAAATAAATATGTTTGGAACTGAAAATATACGTATAATAATGGCATATTGTGACGGTAAAACGCTGGTACTGCTATCAGTCACCCGCATTTTATCCCCTCATCCAACTTTCTGTATGGTTTTCAGCGCACAGATCGTTGGTCATCTGACTTTACGGACCAACATTGGCTTTATCAATACACCTAACGCACAGTTATATCAGGACACAGAGCGATACCAGGGGCGGAACTACAGTGCCGCCAGGACTCCGCAATGCGGGGGGGGGGGTGGGGGCACGCCGTTTAGGGCCCAAAGCCGACCATAATCAATTTTTTTAGTTAAAAAACTTATTTTCCTTCATTTTTTTTTTACTTGATGGTTGTCTTGTTAAAAGAATACTGTAGCTGCGGTTGGATTATCTTTATTCTATAGACACCATCCCACGCTCTTGTGTAATTATTCTTTTTTCCTTTGTTTTTAATTTATTGTGAAAGATGAAAGATAGGCAAACGTTTAAAACCACTTGACTTATTTCCCTTTTTAAAATAGTAAAATAGGGGTACTCATAAGCTCATTTTAATAGATTTGTACTAAACAATTAAAAGCAATTACTTCTGTTAACTATTTCTTTTAAAATACGTACTAAAGAATGATATAGTATAAAATGGAAATGTATTTAAAATAAATAATATAAATACAGAGTCTAGTGGTCATCGGACCTAGTTATTATCATATTAATTTTTAAAGGCTGCAAACTGCGCTTATTGAGTTGTAGGGTAGTCGTTAGACCTCCGTGATGCCGACTTGTTACTTTAAGGTTACTCATCACTGTTACTGTACTAGCGGCTGGAATTGTATTACTGCTTTAAGTGCACATCCTGCCTGTGACTAAGTTCACGAGGCAATTGCTCTCATATAATTTCATTTACTATTATTGCTATTCCTACGTAGACTTAGTTCCCGGCTCAGAAAAAAAAGTAGGCAATACATATAACACTATCATTTACAGTGTTTTCCCGGTACAGAAGAGGCACAGTCCCTGCTACAGACTGAATGCCAATTTTTTTACCTCTTTATAATTGTAGTTATAGGGTATACAATTACATTTTGACAAATATATATATATATATATATATATATATATATATATATATATATATATATATATATATATATATATATATATATATATATATATATATATATATATTGTAAAGATTAAGGAACATTCTTTTGTGTAGTTACCGTCTTTTTTCGAATCCATCCGAATGTTTTGATGAGAGGCACTCATGTTTCAAGTGTCAACAGCCACACACTACAGACCGTTCTTCGTCTCACCAGCAGTACCCTGAGACAACAGCGGATGTTGAGGCTGTTTCAACCTGTTAAAACTGGAGATTTTTTTTAAACTGTGGTCAATATTTCTTTAACAACTTCATTGACATGATGATTTTATACTCGACTTAAAGAATAAGTGATGTATTTGTCTAGTGAATCTTGAACGTATTCTAAAACACACAGAATATGCGTATGCATGCGTGTAGGTATGTAGGTGTCTATATATATGTGTGTGTGTGTATGTATTGTATGTGTGTGTTTTAGTAATTTAATTGTGTTTCGCTAAGACATGATTAAAAAGTTTAACTTTCTTAAAGGTATAAAAAGTGAATTGTACGTTTGCAGTATACAATCGCTAAGTATACAATAAATCGTATATATATATATATATATATATATATATATATATATATATATATATATATATATATATATATATATATATATATATATATATATATATATAATTACCTAACATATCTAGAAGATTAATTGAAACATTATTTAGAAATGAAAAACAAATTCAAATTTAAAGTTATTTAGAAAACAAATGTTATTTTTAAAATGTAATGAAATTAATAATTAATTGGTATGCACATACATTATACAAAAGCAAAATAGAGCAGTTACCTGTGAATATCAAGTTAAGCGACACACACAGAATGATATATCAAAATGTTTTAAGTCATTGCAAGTCAATTTTTTTTACTTCACATTGAATCATTAACAATACAAAAGGGCTTTTTGATAAAGTGCCTATCTAGTCTAGAACTAGGCTAGTTCACACTAAAATGCCCCAAATTATTATAAAAAAAACCTCAATAGATAGACATCGGTAATCTCACGATATAGCGTCGGAAATTATCCGGTAATCTTGTTGAGTTTCGTAAACATTCGTTACTGTAAAACACTTAGTTTATTTGACTGTTGAAATATTAAGTCAAGTGCATTAAATTAAAATTTTAACTTTAGTTTAACTTTGATTGACAGAAAATTAGCAGCAATTAGTAATCTAGATCTAGATATAAATATCAATAATAAAGTCAAGTGTAGTAATTAATGTATATTTAAGAAACAGAAAAATAACTTGCAGAAGATTTTCGACAAATAGAATTCTAGATTTTAAAGATGTAGGCCTAGTAAAGTAAGACGATAAGATTTACTAAAGTAGTAAGAAAGACTAGAACAATGTTTAGTAGTAGCAATAATTAGCAGATAGATCTATACTTAAAATAATTAGCAAAACGATATTTAAAATGCAACTAAAATCATCGTCTGCAAATTTTCAAACATCGTGTAGATCTATTTAAAATAATATGGCGCCAAATAAAGTATGTTTTACAGTACTTCAGGACCGGATTTTCTTCCAGGCATCTCTTCGGGGGGGGGGGGCTACCGAAATTTTTTTACCGCCCCCCCCCCCCCCCCCCGAACGAAATGAAATTTATATATAATTTATATAGAAAATAAAAACTTTTAAACAGTGTCCGCACCCCCCCCCCCCCGAAGAAAGTTTACCGCACCCCCCCCCCCCCCCCCCCGAAGATTTCAAGTGCCCCCCCCCCCCCCCCCCGGAGAAAAAAGTCTGGAAGAAACACTGCTTCCGGTGGTTTCCTAGCGGCATGACAGACTATGCCATGCTTTTACTGTGTTTTTTTTTTTCTGTTGTACCATTTCGGAATAATAATCGACGCTATGTCGTGAGACGAAACGTATTCTTACCTCTAGATTTATATTGTAACAAACTATCGACTGTATTAGATTAGATATCAGATGATGATATGGACTGCTAAGGAAACTGTAAGACTAAGAATATTTAAACCGGAAAGAAACACAACGAAGAAAGAGAATTTGAGTAGAGAGTATAGATGAAATTATGATATCACGCTGACAAAAGGTTTGGATTTTCTCAATTTAGTTTTAGGGAATTTATTTGGTGAGATTTAATAACCGGCCTTGTTGAATGTTTAGGTCCTGTTTTAATTTTGTTATACCAAGTTTATCCTATACGTGAACACACACTGTTTACCAAAAACTAGGGGCGGAACCTCCATGCTTAAAGATAAAATACTATTTGGGGTGGGGGGGGGGGGAGCACATACCATTTAATTAAGGGCCCAAAATCCGACAAAAAGCTTATTTCGTATTCCAAGTATTTTTTCATGCACCTTGATAGTGATCTTGTTAGTTCACAGGTCATATTTGCTCTACTTTAAATAATCCAATTTGGGTGGGTTTGTGAGAACATAAAAAAACTATACCATAAACTGATACTAACACGTACCGTAGGTGGTCGCCTACGATTTGGTGTTATCGGACTTTTGTGATAACGTGTGGCGATGGGGTGGGGGAGGGGGATAGGGAAGGTTATGTGAATGTCCACAAGCGTATATTTTCAAAATCAGATTTTCTTCCAGACTTTTTTCTCCGGGGGATGGGAGGGCACTTGATATTTTCGGTGGTGGGGGTCAACATTTTCCGGGGGGGGGGGGGGGGGGGGGGGGGGGGGGTGGACACTGGTAAAATATTTTTCTGTATAAATTCCATTTCGTTCGGGGGGGGGGGGTAAACTTTCTACGACACTCCCCCCCCCCCCCCCCCCCTCCGAAGAGATGCCTTGTAGAAACTGTTCAAAATGAATATTTAAACTTATTTTGCGTATATATTTTATATTTATAAAGAATTTATTGTGAATTATAATAGTTATTAATTAATTAATTAATTATTAAAATTTTGACACTGATTAGCATAAATGTTCAGTATTAAATTGTGATCGGCAGTGCTTTCGGATAAATCTACCTAGCTCGAAGACTGAAACAGAAATTAAAATAATAATAATTTATGCGTTATTTTCCTTAGAAGGAGGAACAACTCAAATAATATGTTTGACTAAATATTTAGCATGGTTATTTACCCTTATTAAAGGATTTAAATACATGGAAGGGTCTGTGGAGGTAAAATAATTTCTTTTGTTTGCAGAATACACATTTGTGGTGATGGCGGTTGTGCGAGTTGTTGTCAGGTATGTATTTATGAATTATTGGTCTAGCTAACCCGTAAGTCTCGAGTTCGAATCCGGGTTGATGTCAATGAGTCTACCCAACTCATGTTAGGGAAAGTAAAGGCGGCTGGGCATAGTGCTGACCACACTATCTCTTCATATGCCGAGGTCACAGACACACGTGAACTCTACTTCACCTACCCTATAGACCGTCAGCAAAGTAACGTTAAAAGATCACTTCGTTTTTGATGGAGTTACTGTTGTTTATATGCTTTTAAATATATAAATTTACCAACAATTAAAAAACACTTGATACTTTAACAAATTAACATTAATTAATCAATTAGTAAAAAACAAACTTTAAAAAAATAAGACAAATCTTTTTGGTCATCTAGAGCTTTAATATATATATATCAAGAAACAAGTTTCATCCATTCATTTTTTTTTTTATAATTATACAAAAAAATTTGAGATGTAATTTATAGAAATTTATCAGAGCAGGAATCTATTATGTCAACATCGATGTTATACCGTTTCGAGATTTTAAAATGTTACACTGTGATGTTATCTTAAAATTATCTTTACCATTGAGCATAATTTTGATTTGGGAGGGAAAATTTTAAATGATCATAGATAGGTAATAGACCGGATAGCGTGCTTTGAGTTTGAGGACGGTGATATGATTCCCATGGTGCCACCTTTGTATACAAGGCATGAGGAGTCATTTATTTTAAAAACTTTATAGTGAGGAAAACCACATTAAAAAATCTGTAACAATGGGCATGATTTACCATGAGTTTTTAAAACAGTTTTTTTTTATAATTGGAAATATAAACAATGTAATTTGATACAAATAACTCCAGACATTTTAAGACTAGAAAATACTTTCAGACCGCTAAAATTTACAATGATAGATGTTGGTAAAGCTAAAGTAGTATGGACTTTGTATGTTTGCTACAAAATTTATCTTCTACTTCAACAAAAGCTACCCAAAAAGAACAAAAGATTTCCCCAGAAGAAGGACAAGATCTCTCCCAAGAAAGCAAACAAAAGCTACCCAAAAAGAACATAAGATCTCCCCAAAAGATGGACTAGATCTCTCCCCAGAAAGCAAACAAAAGCTACCCAAAAAGAACATAAGATCTCCCCAAAAGAAGGACAAGATCTCTCCCAAGAAAGCAAACAAAAGCTACCCAAAAAGAACATAAGATCTCCCCAAAAGATGGACTAGATCTCTCCCCAGAAAGCAAACAAAAGCTACCCAAAAAGAACATAAGATCTCCCCAAAAGATGGACTAGATCTCTCCCCAGAAAGCGGACAAAAGCTACCCAAAAAGAACATAAGATCTCCCCAAAAGTTGGACTAGATCTCTCCCCAGAAAGCAGACAAAAGCTACCCAAAAAGAACAAAAGATTTCCCCAGAAGAAGGACAAGATCTCTCCCAAGAAAGCAAACAAAAGCTACCCAAAAAGAACATAAGATCTCCCCAAAAGATGGACTAGATCTCTCCCCAGAAAGCAAACAAAAGCTACCCAAAAAGAACATAAGATCTCCCCAAAAGATGGACTAGATCTCTCCCCAGAAAGCGGACAAAAGCTACCCAAAAAGAACATAAGAGCTCCCCAAAAGATCTTCCCTGGAAATGGATAAGATCTTCCAGAAGACGGACACAATCTCCCCTAGACAAGATCCACATTACTAAAGGGCAGAGGTGTTCCAGATTGATTTAACAATACCCATCCAAGAAAACGTCAGCCTTGCCTTTGACTTGGATTGCCTTGCGCTGTAAAACCTTGCGGCTCTGCGTTCATAAGAATAATAATAGTTCTTAGATTCCCAACTACTATACATACGTTTGAGTATATATATATATATATATATATATATATATATATATATATATATATATATATATATATATATATATATATATATATATATATATACATATATATATATATATATGTATGTATATATATGTATATATGCATGTATATATATATATATATATATATATATATATATATATATATATATATATATATATATATATATATATATATATATATATATATATATATATATATATATATATATATTATACATTATTTCACAACATTTTTGGTTATCAACGTAGTACTCCCACCTCAACCTTTCTCAAATTGGGTTCCATTTTTTTGTAGAAAAAAAAAATCGATTAAAATATTTCTCAGATCAGATTATATTTAGAGGTCACTACTGGAGCCAAAAAATGAGTATGGATAAATATTACAAGAAATACATTTTAATTATTAAGTGCAGTTAAGGCAGTAGAAAGTTTAAAGAAATAATAAAATAACATAAAATGCAAACAGTAGGGAAAATGACAAACATTTGCTTTTATTACTACCTACCAGTATTTTAAAAAAACACGTTTTATTAACATTAATTTTTGTTTCTTCTGTTTTTAAATCAGCATCATCAGAGTGAAGGAACTTAATGACACTTACCCAAAGTTCTTTCTTGGAAACCATCCTGCAGAAGCCTCTCTACAATCTGAAAGATCCTATGAAGAAATGTCAAAGAAACATAACAATTACTGAACATATCACTAGACGTTGCTTAAACATCAAATTAGGTAATTTTAATAGAAATAACTTCTAGACAAAAACATTGTGTGCGTGTGTGTTTGTGTGCATTAGTGCGTGAGTGGTTATATGTGTTTATGTGTGTGTTGTGAGGGAGTGATTGGGTTAATGATGCTGTACTTGTCAACCTGTTCTGTCTTTACTGTTTACTCCATGAGTTAAAGAGTTAATGTCTGCCGTCATGTTGTCCAATTTGTACCCGTCATGGTCCAGTTTGTTCCAGTTTTTGTAAGGATATTTATATACAAGTTTGAGGTCGTGTTTATATAGCCGGTGACGCGTTTGACCACGCTAAAGTGTGTCAGAGTGTTCACAACAGTGTGTGCTGATCTTACCACAGAAGTAAAGCAATTAGAAGGATGCACGTTATTGTAAAGTTGGTCCAGTATATCATATCTGACTTTATAAAGTACTTCTGCAAAGAAAAGAGAACGATGCAGGTTATTGCAAAGTTGGTCCAGTATATCATATCTGATTTTATAAAGTACTTCTGTAAAGAAAAGAGAACGATGCAGGTTATTGCAAAGTTGGTCCAGTATATCATATCTGACTTTATAAAGTACTTCTGTAAAGAAATGAGAACGATGCAGGTTATTGCAAAGTTGGTCCAGTATATCATATCTGACTTTATAAAGTACTTTTGAAACAAAATAAAACTTTGAATAACTACGTAAGCAAAGTAAAGTTCCGTTTCGAATCTGAGGGTCCATAGGGCAAGTCAACCTGTTCTGTGAACTCGACATATGAAGGGATAGTGTGGTCAGCACTAGTCCCAGTCGCCTTTACTTTCCCAAACGTGAGTCAGGTACCCATCAGAGCTGGGTGGGCTCGATGTTGTACTGACTTAAAATACGATTAATTAGTTAAATCTAGTTTCTTTTTTTAAATTGAGACACCATCCTATTATTTTTGTTGAAGCGTGTGGGGTGAGTATAGGGAGGGGGGGGGGGCAGAGTTGGGCATTCTATTGCTTATATTTCTTCTTCGTTCTTAATTGTAATGTTGGAATTTTCCAACAACTCAGTTAAGAATAGCGTGACGGGATTCGAACTCGAAACATTTCGGTGTAGTAGATAGCTGTTTTGGGATAGCTGTTTTTGTGGACACACATATCTAGATCAGTGTATGGGGGGGGGATGGGGGGAGGGAGGGATGGGGGTTGTCCAAAGTAGACAGAGATAGGAGTGGAGGTCGAAATTCAAAATTTGTGTCCTTGGCTTGAACGGATGGACAGGATCAAAAGCTCAAGAAAATGTACAACGCCATCAATGGATAGATGTAACGGATGGACAGGATCAAAAGCTCAAGAAAATGTACAACGCCATCAATGGATAGATGTAATGGATGGACAGGATCAAAAGCTCAAGAAAATGTACAACGCCATCAATGGATAGATGTAATGGGTGGACAGGATCAAAAGCTCAAGAAAATGTACAACGCCATCAATGGATAGATGTAACGGATGGACAGGATCAAAAGCTCAAGAAAATGTACAACGCCATCAATGGATAGATGTAATGGATGGACAGGATCAAAAGCTCAAGAAAATGTACAACGCCATCAATGGATAGATGTAATGGGTGGACAGGATCAAAAGCTCAAGAAAATGTACAACGCCATCAATGGATAGATGTAAAACGGCAGGTGGTGAATCGAAAATCCCATTGACAGAATTTTTGTGTAAGGATGTGTGACGATGTGTGACGATATGTTATGATGGGTACGTGGGCAGGAATATTCTTTTCTTAATCCAGTTCGAGCCCAAGACACATGGGGCAGATGAAGTAGAGTTCATCTGATTCATTGACCTCGGCATATGAAGGGATAGTGTGATCAGCACTATGTCCAGCCGTCTTTGTTTCCTTAACGTAAGTAAGGTCCCCATCAGAGCTGGGTGGACTCAGGGACGGTCCACTGATTTGAACCGGGATTCGAACTCGAATACTCTCGGGTTAGCAGTCTTTAACGCTAGACCACGCCGTCCCCCATGTGGGCAGGAATAGGTGAGTTAAAAACCTCGTTAAAAAAACAGCCAATGCCATGAATGGACCAACTTTAAACGACTCTGTCTAAAAAACGTATATAAAGAAAACAAAACAAAAAACGTTCAAATCTGTACTCACCAGAGCTTCTTTAAGGGGTGGAGTTGTATAATCTGTTATAGTTATGGTGAGCCCGTAGAGGGCACAGCCGAGAAAAAATTGAACGGTCGCCTTCAAAAAGATGCTGGGTTCTGAAAAATTAACATACATATATAGATATACAAACACAAACATACAAACACACATACACATAAGGGTCTAAGACAAACTAATAGAGCCAACTTAACCTTAACTAAACTTGATGAATAAAATTATGTTTGGTATTAGAGATTATAGTACATGCTGGTAGGTCTAGTAAAACAAAAGCTAAGCACACTGCGGTAATAGTAAAAGTATCCCTTTCAAACCTGACGGTCTATGGGGCATGTGAATTAGAGTTCACTTGTTTCTGTTACCTCGGCATATGAAGAGATAGTGTGGTCAGCACTATGCCCAGCCGCCTTTACTTTCCCTAACGTGAGTTAGGTACCCATCAGAGCTGGGTTCACTCAGGGACGGTCTACTGATTAGAACCCGGATTCGAACTCGAGACTTACGGGTTAGTCGTCCAGCTAGACCGCTCCGTCCCTCGGTGATAGTAACCTTTATAAGATATTCTTTCAAACTTTACATAACTATTTTGAGGATGGCATATCATAATACGCTAACACTTGCATTATTTATAGTACCTGCATAAAATTACTTTCTCTCCCGTAATCTATTTTTAAGATGAGCATTGTCTCTCCCTCCCCCCCCCCCACCCCCCCTCCCAGAGGCATAGCGATGGGGGGGGCAGGGGGGGACATATGAGTTGTAAAAACAAATTAAAATGTTAATTTAGCTGCATTTTTGCAGTTTGAGGGGGGGGGGGGGTGCAAATCGAAAATTTGCTCCCGAGGGAGCGCCAAATTGAAAGTTTGTCCCCGGGCGCCGGGAAGGGTCGCTACGCCTCTGCCCCCTCCCCATCCGCATTAATGTCAGTATTCCAACAAAGGATCAACTTATGATGATTTAGAAAAAAATAATCACTATGGCTATGTTGTTAGGAGAAAAAGAAAACCATTTTGTGTTGAGTTACCATTACTGTCCGAATCCATATTGCCGTTTGTGAACTTTGGGGGGAGGCGCTCAGCAAGTGTCAACAGCCACACACTACAGACCGTTCTTCGTCTCACCAGCAGTACCCTGAGACAACAGCGGACGTCGGGGCTGTTTTCAACCTGTAAAACTTAGTTTCAGTGGCGTAGGCAAGGGGGGTTAGACCCATGGACCCCCACCCCTATAAATATAGCCTATATATATATAGTATATAAATATAGTATATATATATGTATATATATATATATATATATATATATATATATATATATATATATATATATATATATATACGAGAAAAATGGCCCGTTGAGGAAGGATACAACGGGCGCTAGGTTGATAGTGCTGTCTCTTTTCTCTAAACTAAAACCAACCCACCCCCCCCCCCCCACACACACACCACCCCCACCCCCACCCACCCCCACCCCCACCCCCCAAAAAAACATGTCTACCGTCCCATTCAGCGAAATATAATTATATACTTTTTCCAGTGTCCGCCCCCCTCCCCGAAAATTCTACCCCCGCCCCCGAAAATTTCAATTACCCCCACCCCTTTCCGGGGAGGAAAAAGTCTGAAAGAAACACTGGTGTCGCGCTTAGCCACTACCCGAAGAATTGCATTAAAGAAATTGCAAGAAAACCACTTTTGAGATTAGACACATTAATTAGGCGGTAATTTTATGATAGAGTATCGATGAAGAAATTTCTTTTGAGTTGGGGAGGGGGAGGGGCTCAGACGTTCTTACGCGGGGGGTGGGGCTTCGCCCCTACCCGAAGAATTGTATGCAAGAAACTCTTCACGCAAAACACTTAGATTAGACAACATTTCCTCTTTATTCAATGTTTACGCCAGAATCAATGACGTCATTATATTACTGTGAGATTATTTTCAACTCTATGCTAAATGTGTCGACGTCATACTTCGTTTTTCGAATTACTATGCATGTTTTTAAATTGCTTGTCTTTTCTCTAGAGCGTTCTTGTCAGACAGATAGATAGATAGATAGATAGATAGATAGATAGATAGATAGATAGATAGATAGATAGATAGATAGATAGATAGATAGATAGATAGATAGATAGATAGATAGATAGATAGATAGATAGATAGATAGATAGATAGATAGATAGATAGATAGATAGATAGATAGATAGATAGATAGATAGATAGATAGATAGATAGATAGATAGATAGATAGATAGATAGATAGATAGATAGATAGATAGATAGATAGATAGATAGATAGATAGATAGATAGATAGATAGATAGATAGATAGATAGATAGATAGATAGATAGATAGATAGATAGATAGATAGATAGATAGATAGATAGATAGATAGATAGATAGATAGATAGATAGATAGATAGATAGATAGATAGATAGATAGATAGATAGATAGATAGATAGATAGATAGATAGATAGATAGATAGATAGATAGATAGATAGATAGATAGATAGATAGATAGATAGATAGATAGACAGACAGCGAAACTATTATTATTAATATATATATATATATATATATATATATATATATAAAGATATATATATATATATATATATATATACATATACATATATACATACATATATATACATATACATACATATACATACATATATATATATATATATATATATATATATATATATATATATATATATATATACATACATATATATACATATACATACATATATATATATATATATATATATATATATATATATATATATATATATATATATATATATATATATATATATATATATGATTGTATACATATGGAAACAAATTTGAACCCCTCCCATGACCAATTCCTAGGTACGCCACTGCTGAGTTTTATTCAAAGGTGTTTATTTAACGGGTTCGTTAACGTGAATACAAATACTTGAACAGTGGAAATTTTGGTTTAATGTACTCGCATTAATTTACTCAAACGTTTTTGTGTGTTGAGAGAATTCATTAATTTTATAACATAAACTGTGGGTATAGGGAAGTATGTTTCTTACCATTGCCTTTTGATATTCTTTCTTATTATTTTCGCTACATTCCTGCTATTTAGAATGTCTGGAGGAATAAATTGACATTACTGTCTTTTGGGTTCTTTATTTTAACGTAATATAAAGGGTTTTTCATAAACGTCCCATTTTCAACCCCCTCCCCCCCCCACCCCCGTTTTCCCTAATCCACCTCATAGTGATTCATAGTCACGAAATGCCAAATACTAATCCTTAAAATGCCATCACAGTTTAGCCGACCACAATCACCCGTTGTTGTTTTTTCTTTCAAATTTTAGTTAATTAAGAGTTTTTTACCAACCCAGAAAAATATTTGGCCGAAAATATAAATCAAGTAGACTCCCTTTACGAGAAAAATGAGAAGAAAAAAAAAGGCAAATACTTAGGCTTATTCCTTAATAATTTATTATAACTATTTTTAAAAATTTAAATAAAAAACTTGAAATATTTTATAAAATGTCACTTTTTTAGGCTTATAACTAGATCTAGATCTAGATCTACATTTAGATCGAGGTTCGGTCAAATTTTATGTACTTAGCATCTTTGTTCTAAAGTTAATTATACTAATTCCCAGCCTATGGGCAATTTAAATAATTCAAGTAAGTAGATCTATACGAGTAATCAATAAATTATTATTAGTTACCTACTTGTAATGAAAGGCGGCCTTGAAAAGTTCAAACCGGAAGTGTAAAAGTTATTTCAGTAACTATAAAAACTATAAAAACTAAAACAGTGGCACTATTTTGAGGCTATGATTACGTTCATTACATAAATATCTAGATTGAATAAATTTTTTAAATATACCGTAGCATAAATAGAAGGCGGCAAAAAATAAACGTTTGATTGTGTTGTTCGCTCGGATTATTGTATACATTTCAATAACTCACTCGTTAAGTTGTATTTGTCGAAAAAAAACATAGGATTAGACCGGGCTTAAAATCAAATTAATTATTCTAGTGCTTAGTACTATGAGATCAGACGATGTCAACAAGAGTGCTGTTTCTTAGACGCTACAGGTCAAGATAAAATAATTGAGGTTAAGAAATAACCATTGGTCGATGTGGTCGAGCAGAGGCGTAGCGACCCTTCCCGGCGCCCGGGGACATACTTTCAATTTGGCGCCCCCCTCGGGAGCAAATTTTCGATTTGCACCCCCCCCCCCTCGAACTTTTCATTTGCACCCCCCCCCCCCTCAAACTTTCGATTTGCACCCCCCCCTCGAACTTTTCATTTGCACCCCCCCCCCCTCAAACTTTCAATTTGGCGCCCCCCCTAAGGTCGGCGCCCGGGGACGTATGTCCCAACCCCCCGCCCCCCCCCCCCCTCGCTACGCCTCTGTGGTCGAGTCAGTAAAGCTCATGGCTACCATTCCGAGAGGACCCGAGTTCGAACCCACGGGCAGATAGGGCTCGTTAGCCGTGGACTCACCAAGGAGAGAAATCTCCAAAATGAAACAAATTCTTGTATTTTGTTCTTTGTTGGACAAACGCTATGGAAGCAAATAAAAAAAGAACTGCAGGCTGAAATAGGAGTCAACGGCCGTGGCTTAATAATTTGAGACGTAATACTTAATTGTGTTGGATAAAATCTCGTCCATAATTATAATTAAGAAAGAGGAAGAAGAAGGTCATAATGGAGTTCATCTTCAATAAAGATAACATAAAAATCCATAAATCATGAGGCGTAAAAAAATCTACCAATACCGAACTAGAACTGCTGGAACTAATCTGTAATCGGCTTTGTTTCTTGTCGGAAAATTTCAGATAGTCCCTTGATATTGATTTCTGATTGTAGACGTTGGCACAATACACATTTTAATAGACAATATATACCTTCATGCTGTTAAGTTTTTTTTTCTTGTCGGTTAGATTTTTTTTTAAAAAGATGTAACCTTCAATAGGGGCGGGGGTGGAGGTATTGTGCACTGGTTTATTTCGCGATGTTGTTTTTCGTCCAAGGGTTTAATGGCAGGTAGGGGGGGTAGGGTTTAAAGTTACGACAGGATTAACTATTTGGTTACAATTGTTACATTGCTTATCGAAATGAATGTCCCTTTACTAAACAGAGCGATGTAGTACACACGAGACTAGATGATATTTTCATGTGCAACCATGTTCACAAAGAGACATTTAAATCAAAATTTGTTATCCCACAAACGATCGTATATTAGAAAACAGAACTTGAGACTTACTGCTCCTCACAAAATGTCATTAATGTCATCCAGATACTTGCAGATGTTTTCCCTGAACCTATGAAGACATTTTTCAAAAACTTTTAAATTAGTTGAATATAAGTCCCCATCTATAATTTGGGGGCTGTGTGGTCGGATGGCATAGTTCACGAGTACTAAAACAAAAGCCTCAGGTTCGAGCCCGTGTCTGTAGGACCTCCCTGAGAACTCCCAGCCGTGAAGAGTACCTGACTAACATTGAGGAAAGCTAAGGCGGCTGGACATAGAGCTGACCATACGATACCTCCATATACCGAGGTCATTGCAACAGTTGAGCTTCCTCTGCCCACATGTGTCTTGGCCACGAACGGTAAAAGATGATGATCAATTTTTAAAAGTCTATTTCAACATAAAACATGAGTTAGGTGTATGTATAAGTACGTGCCTCTAGCCCTTACCATTTCAGTAATGAAAGAAATACAATACATTATTATATTTTTAGTTAAAGTTTTTATTTTGAAAAAAAAAATTTGTGATAAAATATAAAATGTTGAAATACATCCATTGTGTGTTTGTGAGAGTGTGTGTGTGGGGGGGGTGGAAGGAGTGCGTGCGTGTGTGCGTGAGCGAGTGCGCATGACCCTTACCGTTCGTGTACTTGAAGCAGAACCAAAAACACTACAATAGCAATTTTCCAGTAGAAGAAAATGGGGTTGATAGTAAACACTCCGCTCTGTAACAAAACAATTTGTCTTATCACAAAACACTTAGGAAAACTATAGAAAACTTGTATCAAGTCATTCAATTATGACGTCCAACCGATGCTATAGAAAACTAATATCAAGTCATTCAATTATCACGTTCAACCGATAACGAATTATGATTGATGGGGGATGGGGGGGGGGGGGGGTGTTAAGAAATCAACAGAAATCACGTAACGTCATACATGACCGACCCTTAGACCAAGTCAAACTCGACGTGTAAACGGTACTCACCAACACATAGGGTACTCACCAACACATAGGGTACTCACCAACACATAGGGTACTCACCAACACATAGGGGTACTCACCAACACATAGGGTACTCACCAACACATAGGGTACTCACCAACACATAGGGTACTCACCAACACATAGGGTACTCACCAACAAATAGGGGTACTCACCAACACATAGGGTACTCACCAACAAATAGAGAAGATTGTAGTTGACCAGGTCAGAAATAGCTTTGGCCAAAAAAATTATAATTGTCAGAGGGAGGACTGTCAAAATTAATAGCTCAAGCTCTGAAATGGGTGTGGTCGATAAATGTCATATATATATATATATATATATATATATATATATATATATATATATATATATATATATATATATATATATATATATATATATATATATATATACATATATATATACATATATATATATATATATATATATATATATATATATATATATATATATATATATATATATATAAATTCACCGAGTAAACAGTTTACGTTTTTATGTTGCCAATAACTGTTTATTATAATAATATTTTTATTGAATGCGCGGAAATAAGCCCTTTTGTTCACATCGCGAGTTCAGATATCGACTTATTCCTTGTGGCCCCTGTGGAGCTGAGAGCTGCAGCCACACCTCTCCACCGGACTCATGTGTTGGGCGGCTCTCTTTAGTAGAGCCCACGTATGTCCAGCGGTCCTTTCTTCCTCTTCCACCTCGCGTCTCCAGGTCGGCCTGCTTTTCTCTCCCCAGGGGCATATTCTTTCAGCGTTTTTTTTATCCGGGGTAGGGGGGGGGTGGATTAAATTTTCCTTGAGGGGACGACATTGGTAAACGGATATATTTTCTGTATAAATTCGATTTCATTTGGGCGGGGTGGGCGGGGGTGGGGGAAGGGGGAATGGCGGTTGACGTTCTTCGGGGGGGGGGGGGGGGGGAGGGGGGTCCAGTCTAACGCTTGCCTCGCGATGTTGTCTTCTTCCCTTCCTAGTGTGTACCCAATCCATCCAAATTAGCGGGCTTTAGATCAGAAGAAGTGTTACAGAAATACATATTATGTTAATACACCAAGCGCCATACCATCTTTGATGTTGCTATCGTTGTTATCAAAATCCATGTCGATGTGTTTTTTTTAAATCTTCAGGACAGGCAGTCATTTTTTCCAGTGTCAACAGCCACACACTACAGACCGTTCTTCGTCTCACCAGCAGTACCCTGAGACAACAGCGGACGTCGGGGCTGTTTCAACCTGTTGTTTTATTTTAAAGGTTGGGTAAATAATACTAAATATCTCTTTAACGAGTTCGTTAAATTAAGAACAATGGGAATATTAATTATTATTATAAAATAAACAATGGGGTTGGGTGGGGGTGGGGGATTCAAGATTATGTCGAATGTAAGTACCATGAATAATATTAAATCACCTAATACATTACTTACTTTGATTAGACTAATTGCCGTCCTAGGCTAACTAATGCAGTCAAAGTTAAGCAGCGGATCTAGTTGAGTAATTAAACAAATTACTGTTTACCTGCTTGTAATGTAGGGCGGCGTTAAAAAATTCAAACCGGAAATGTAAATAGAGGCAGTTTGTGTGGTATTTGTAAAAACTAAACCGCGGCGCTATTTTGTGGATAATACAATAAGCCCAATAAATGTTCACTACTAGATTCTAGAACCTTGGTATTATATGTTGGATTAAAAATATATTTTTTTAAATGTGACATAAATATAAATCTTGCGGGAGGTAGCGTAAACAAACCAAGTTCTTTGTGTTGTTGGCTCGGAATTAGGTTTTAAATTTCAATTACTTCGTCGTTACAATGCATCATTCGAAAAGTAAATAGACCTATAATCAAAATAATCGAAAAGCAAATTGCCCTACAATCAAAATACTGATCTATCTATATACACATCTTTGACATATATATATATATATATATATATATATATATATATATATATATATATATATATATATATATATATATATATATATATATATATATATGTATATATATATATATATATATATGTATAAATGAGCCTATATGTATATATATATATATATATATATTTATATATATATATATATATATATATATATATATATATATATATATATATATATATATATATATATATATATATATATATATATATATATATATATATATATATATATATATATATATATATATATATATATATATATATATATATTTCACTGAAAAAAATAATTTCCTTCAGAAAAACTATTATTTATTTGTGTGGAAAGATATCTCTCAAAATTTAAAATATGTTTAGTCAACTAATAAAAACTTTGATGTTATATTTGAAGCTCATTAGTGAAGCTAGTATATTTATTTGACATATTGCTACATTCAAACCGATGAATGGAATTAAAAAGAATAAACCAAAAAATGTATACAGAGACAACAAGACGTGTTTTTTTATCATTTAAAGAGTCAGAAAACTTTTATTTGGTAAAACCATCCTAGAAAAATATATTTATTACCATGTACAATGAGATAACTCGAAAATTAAATGCTATTGTTTTTATTGTTCCTGTTCTTTTTAAGTTTGTTTTAGCATTTTTTTTCATTCAGCTTATCAAATAATAAACAATGGACTACTAAAAATGTTGGATTAATATGGCTTTCGATATGTAATTTTAAACATGCTGATAGTGATAATAACGTATAGGGTTGATGAATATATCTGTAAAGCATGAATGCTTTTATAATCATTTTACATACAAGTAATCTTTCTAAGTTTTAATTTTAATACATGGAGTTTTAACCAGCACATACAAATTTACACATAGTAATAATAATATTAGAATGTGAATTTTGTCACATACTGTGTTGAGATTTAAACGTAAGAAGTAGTGTGTTATTTTAAAAAATATAATTTAAACTTCATATAATTTAGGAAGGAAAAGTGAACTAAATTAGCAATGGGGTATCACAGTGGGTCGTAGCGAGCGGAGCGACCCTTCCCGGGGACAATCTTTCATATTTTCGATTTGCACCCCCCCCCCCCCGTATCATATAAAAGATACATTGATGATATTGAGGGAAATAATGATGAGTTTGAAAATAAACTACTACTAAACATGTATTTTCAAGAGCATTTTTGTTGAAAAGATTTTTAAAAAAGGGGTTACAAACAAAATCTCTATTTAAAAAAAAGTATTTAAAAGAAGTAACTTAGGCATTTTGAGACTAGTAGGAATATTCAATAGTTTCAGATATACAGGGACACTCAAATAAATGCAAGGTGTTGGTAAAAAATAAAGTATATTGGGCATTTTATCTTAGCTACAAAATTAACAGCTCAACAGACAAGAGCTCTAGAGCAAGTAGATCCAGAGAATTGTTTACATATGGCATGATATAAAGACTATATATGAGCATGGGAAAATGAATGAATTTTAAAATCTATGTATCTAAATCTAAACTAAATGAACGGTAGAAAAAAAAATTTTGTGAATTGTCTTTACGAAACCCAATATATATTTATATATATATATATATATATATATATATATATATATATATATATATATATATATCATCACTCCTTTATGGCCCCTGGGGAGCAAAGGGCTGCAACCACACATTTCCAGCGGACTCGGTTTTGGGCTGCTCCTCTGATCTGTGCCCATGTGAGCCCAGCTGTTTTTGCCTCTTCCTCAACCGTTCTCTTCTATGTTTTCTTTGGCCGGCCCACCCTCCTTCTGGGCTGATCTGCTACTTTCATATAGGGTTCTGATGTTCCAGGTCCCTAATCTGGTTTTGGTCTTGGGCGTTAGGAGATTTGTCAGCAAACTAGCTTCTGTTAGGCTTTCACTAGTAGGCATCATGGGCTCTTCTATAGAGGATCCCCCTTGACCAAGTTGGTGTTGGATTTGTGTACTTGCAGTTTCTGTAGCGGTATATTTTTTTATGAGATAAGGTTGCTAGCCTTATGTTTCAACCCCCAACCTGGAGGACCAGGGTGTTAGCTTTGGTCTGATCCCTACCCGCGCAGACCTTCCCAGCTTGGTTGAACCTACCAGGAGTTTACACTCCCGCTGGTATAGCTCTGGGGGTCGTCAGGGTACGCAAGCTGCCAAGCCACGACAAGGCTCTAACACCGGATGGCAGTATATATATATATATATATATATATATATATATATATATATATATATATATATATATATATATATATATACTAATGGTGCACGTAAAACCATGCTTCCAAGAAAAAAGTTGTGCACATCGTTGCAGTATTTCCCTGTGCATCAAAGTTTCAAGTACAAGGCTGTTGATAGACTGAACAGTACAGCCTATAAATAACATTTTAGTAATTGTTTGGAAGCGACGAGATAACTGTAGTGTTGTAGCTTAAAGGAACGGTTTTATTGTTTGTTTGTTTGTTTGTTTGAGTGACATTAATAACCGAGGTCCTGTGTCCATTAAACTCATCTATAGGAAAATCCAGAGTTCATTCGGATTTAATGGGTGCTGGGCTCATTAATGGGCATTCCAAGATCCATTGAATGTGGCTGGTCACTATTTCTTCACGTTGTTTGATAAGAGAAACAGATAAACTCTATTTCACCTGGCCTACAAACCATCAGAACCAAAGGATTACTCAAAATACTTTAACATTTAAAAGAAAGTTTCACGCTGAGAATCAAATATCAACCACTTTATTTCTTTCAGCAAATGATTAAGGGATGGTCCATAAATTTAATTTAATGTGTGATAATATTCTACAAGAGTGGTTCGGGGTGGGGAGGGGTTAAGAAAAGTGATATAGAAATGTAGAACTCTTTTTTTTTTAAAGTAATAATTACATGTAAATAGATTTGCTCTTAGTTTTAATAATTAAAAAAAAAGAAGTACTTTGTGGAACTTGACAAAAATAAAGCCCACTGGTAAAAGTAAAAATTAAATAATCGCAGCCTTGACTCTGTAGATTAGCATGCAGATGGGATAATCTTTTCCTGTCAGATTGGCCTTCACCTTCCTCATAATCCTTCTCTATCACTGCTTAAAGATTTGAGATACCTGATCAATACCACACTGTGCCTGCGTACTTCAGAACGTCTGGTTAAAGCCACCACCGCACCCCACACACACACACACTGACAAACACAACGAAACAATTCCGTGGGTGAGACATTATCGGTTGAGTCAGGAGAGACACACACACATAACACAATCCCGTGGAGGGAGGGGCTAGGACTCATAACTGAGTGAGAGGAGAATCGCCGCACCCTCCCCCACCTGTGGGGTGTTAGCCCCATCTGTCTGGGTGTGGCTATTGGCATCGGGTCATCATTGGGTCATCATCAGGTCATCATTGGGTCATCATTGGGTCATAATTAGGGTCATCATCGGGTCATCATTGGGTCATCATCGGGTCATCATCGGGTCATCATTGGGTCATCATCAGGTCATCATCAGCTCATCATTGGGTCATCATTGGGTCATCATCGGGTCATCATTGGGTCATCATCGGGTCATCATTGGGTCATCATCAGGTCATCATCAGGTCATCATCGGGTCATCATCAGGTCATCATCAGGTCATCATTGGGTCATCATCAGGTCATCATCAGGTCATCATCGGGTCATCAATGGGTCATCATCAGGTCATCATCGGGTCATCACTGGGTCATCCTCGGGTCATCATTGGGTCATAATTGGGGTTATCATCGGGTCATAATTGGGGTCATCATCGGGTCATCATGGGGTCATCATCGGGTCATCATCAGGTCATCATCAGGTCATCATCAGGTCATCATTGGGTCATCATCAGGTCATCATCAGGTCATCATCAGGTCATCATCGGGTCATCATCGAGTCATCATCCTTCTCCCCTCCATTCCCACCATTTGGTAGATACTAAGGTGGGAGGTAGTCAAACCACTTCCTGAAATATACGGTGATGCGTCTCTTGTATCTATAGAGAAATTTGAAAATTAAATTAGTCGAATACAAGTTGGAAATTATTACTTTACAAATGTCTGTGTATGCGGGAATGATCTCTCCTAAACTTTCTCGTATATTAATTTGTCTAAATAGACTAAACAATTGCGCACACTGTGGACGCAAACTATCTATGTAAAATAGAGCGAAAATTAGAGCTTATACAGAAAACATTGATTCCTTTTTTTAAAGTTAATAAAACATAGTATTAAGTCACATTTTAATACTTCTATATGAAATTCGTCAACATAAGTGAAACGGCACACAAGTTATCGTGTTCACAGTCACACACACAAACACACACACACAGAGACGTAGCGAGGGGGGGGCGGGGGGTGCGGACCGCACCGGGTGACACCATTGAGGGGGGGGGGGGGGTGACACCAAGGCAAAAAATAGCAAAATATATAGAGAAAAATTTGAGGGGGGGGGTACAAATAGAAAGTTTGAGGGGGGGGGTGCCAATCGAAAATTGAAAGTTTGAGGGGGGGGGGGGGTGCAAATCGAAAATTGAAAGTTTGAGGGGGGGGGGGGTGCAAATCGAAAATTGAAAGTTTGTCCCGGGAAGGGTCGCTACGCTTCTGGGGGG